GCATTTATATAGCATACTATATACTATATATATATATAGCATATATATGCTATATATATACTGTATATATATAGTATGCTATATATATACAGTATATATATAGCATATATATAGTGTTATATATAACACTAGAATAGTTTTTGTAACAAATGTCATCTATGTGTACTCAATGACATATAAACTATCAGCAAAAGGTCCTTCTACTTGGTACAATTTAATTAATTTGATGTCTTTGTTTTTTTGTATTGTTTTGTTTTTTTGCTATAGGGTCCGTGAGCTCACCAGAAAGACAGAGAGAGACAGAAAGCAAGAAATCATCCCCCGGGGGGATGGCCACACCACAATTCCTTCTCCTCCATTCTCCTCTCAGGATCTTGGGTACATATGCACACATGCCCAGCATGAGTTTAAGCCACTGGGTCCAGGACTCGAACCACAGTCAGCTACATGGGAGTCCAGTGATATAGCCATTATGCCAACTGCTGCTCCTGATGTCTTTGTTCTTTTCAACCTGGCCTTACACCACTTCACTCTGGATGACCCGTTTCCTCACATCTTAAAAAATAGCTTTTGGTAACTTAGAATAATTTATACACAATTATGAGGGTACAATAGGATTTTGCAATACAAGAATAAACTACATAATAGTTTAATGAAGCTAATTAGCATATGCATAATTTCAATCATTTGTCATTATTTATGTTGGATATATTCAAAGTCCTCTCTTTTATTTACTTAGAGATGCACAGCAAATTGTTGCCATCAATGTTCTTCCCACTGTATCTTATAACACTAGAAATCATTTCCCCTGTCTGCCATTTTATTTCTGTTAATCAGCATTCCTCTATTCCGTACTGCCCCATCTTTCCCAGTCTCTAGCAGTACCTCTTCATCCCTTTAGCTCCATTGTGAGGCCATTTTTTCAATTTCTACATATGAGGGAGAACATGTGGTGTTTCTCTTTCTATGCCTGGCTTATTTCACTTTAAATAACATCCTCCAGGATCCCCCACTGAGAATCAAATGACAGGATTTTTGTCTTTTTAATGGCTGAATAGTATTCCACGGTGTGTGTATATCCATGTGTGTTTCATTAGCTGACGGATGTTCAGGATGCTTCCATATCTGGATCAGTGTGAAAAACGAACTTGCACCTTTTAATTCTACCTTTCCACACAAACTACTTGTACTGAAATTCCTTGAATTTGTTTGACTAGTTCTCAGAACCTTGATTTCTTTCGAATGTTCCTTTGCCCCAGCCAGGTAGCAGCTGACAATACAGAAAACATCTCAGACACATGTAATACCCATTGCCTTTTTTCTTTTTCTTTTTTTTTATGAGAGAGAGAAAGTTTTTGCTATAAGGTGCATGTGCTCATTGGACAGAGACACACAAAGCAAGAAATCACCCCCAGGGAGGATGATCATCCATGCTGCAGTCCCTTCTCCTCCATTCTCCTCTTGCGATTTTGGGCACACATGCCTGGTATGAGTTTCAAGCCACCAGATTTGGGACTCAAACTGCAGTTAATCATGTGGGAGTCCAGCACCTTAACTATATGCCACCTGCTGGCCCCTACCTGTTGCCTTTGACAAGAGCCCTTTACATGCAAACTGGTCCCTCACTATAGGTACAGTGAGTCATTAAATCACGTCAAGTAAAGGCATAGCATCAGTTTAATATCGGGTACCTGGCATCCATCAGTGGGAGTGGGTGAGTTTTTTCGGCACTGGATGGAAAGCTGGTAGAGGTGGACATCCCCTCCAGGGACCCATGATGACCTTTCTGACCTTCACCCTCCCGGATCTTCTGCTTCCGCTGCTGGATTTCATGTTCTAACCTGCAGAGGTGGGAGCCATGCAAATTTACTCATTAACAGTATTTCCCGAGCATCTTCACTGTGTGAGACATTCTAGAAACAATGGGGATCCAGATATGAATCCTATGTGCAAAGAGCATTACCTTCAAGAGAAAAGGGGCCACATACTCGTAAGACAAGGTATTAGGTGATAAAGGACCCTAGGGTCTGAGACAAACAATGCAGGTGTGCCCGAAGGTTGCAGAGTTTGACCATCAAGGGCAATATTCCCACTAAACTCTAAGCAAGACCTCAGGAGTAGATATGTGGGATTCTGAGTCCTCTAATTCCTGCTTGAACAACGACTGGTTGTGAATTGCATACCAGAATTCTGCAAAATACTTCTGCTTGACAAGAGATTTCTGCTTTCAGAGCTTTTAAAAACCACCAATACTGGGACCAGCAGGTGGCACAGTAGTTGAGGCAATAGACTCCCACGTGGTCAACCGCAGTTCGAGTACTGGACCCAACAGCTTGAAACTCACACTGGGCACATGTGCATGCGTGTCTAAAATCCTAAGAAGAGAATGAAGAAGGGATTGTGGCATGACCATCCCCCTGGGGATGATTTCTTGCCTTCTGTCCCTCTGGTAAGCATATGTGCCCTATAGGGAATATGTGCCCTACAGCAAAAAATCTCTCCGGGGTGAGGAAGTACATTCTAGGAGGAACATAATGGTCAAGGCAGTTCCAAGTTTGTACAGTCCAGTGAAAATATGGGTATTTGGAGATGATGAAGGAAGATCCAGTTATAAGAGGTAGTATTGGGAACCAGCAGTTAGCGTAATGGCTATGTCGCTGGACTCCCACGTAGTCAACCGCGGTTTGCGTCCCGGACCCGGTGGCTTAAAACTCATGCCGGGCGTGTGTGCGTGCGTGCCCAAGATCCCGAGAGGAGAAGGGAGGAGAAGGGATTGCGGCGTGACCATCCCCACTGGGGGGTGATTTCTCGCTTTCTGTCTCTATGTCTCTGTCTGTCTGGTGAGCGCACGTGCCCTATAGTGAAAACCTCTCCAAAAAAATAAATAAATAATAATAAAAAAAGAGGTAGTGTTAACATCAGCAATAGAGTTATGCCATTAAAAACAGAAATCCACTTTGGCTAAGGCAGAGGGTATGAGACACACGTAAGACAGTAGGTTGAATTCCATCGGAAATTAAAATAAACCATAATTGTGGAACCAAAAACTCGTCTTCAAAAGGGAAGACTAAGAGAGTGGTGTGAGGGGCAGGTGATGGGGAAAGAACTGAGAAACCAAAACAACAGTCTTAGCAACAGAGACAAAAAGAAGCAGGACAGGGCAGGTACAAACTACACTTATGGCTAAGAAGACCTTGCTGGGGATGTTCAGAGGTATCCTGAAGGGCAAGGACAGTGGAAAAGACTCCACAGAGCAACAAGAGTTTGAATGGGACCCTGAAGGCCAAGTAAGATTCATATAGTTGCAAGCAACAGTTAGGGTACCCCAAGAAAGGCATCCCCGGTGAAGAAATGGCCTTCCTGTGTGGCAGCCACACGGTCAACAGAAGACAAAATGGCTACATGCCGGGCAGGAAATGGACCTAGATTGGAGTCACGGCTCTGCTACTACCTCACTGTATGACACTAATCCTCAGTGGTCACACTGCCATTGTAGGTGTCAGTTTCCCATCTGTAAACTGGGGAGTCATAACATTGTCTTCATTAGAACAGGAAATGACAATGCACACATGGCATTTAAAACAGGGTTTGATGGGCTGGAAGGTGGTATGGTGGTTAAGGCCTTGGACTTCCCCCTTGGCAAACTGCAGTTTGAGTCTGGACCTGGCAGCTTGTTTTCTCACTTTCTCCTCCTCTTATTCTCTTTCTCTGTTTGAATTTAAAAAAAATAAAAAATAAAAATAAATAAAATAATTATTTAAATAAATAAATAAAACAGGGTTTGAGTTATATGGGGTTATTCTTCCTGTATGCATCATGACTATTATGATTATTATCACTAAAGGACTCTAACAAGAAAATATGATTAAATGTGGGTATTAATAACAGTTTTCCTCTGTGTCCCTGCTATGGTGACAAGGATGCTTTTCTGGTTGGCATGCCAATATGTGTCACTGAGTAGCTTGAATAAGCAGGGGACTGTCAAGTAGATCAGGCCTTGTTCATAAAGCACTGATGGCACAGCCAAGCCTCGTGTACTGCTGTCCAATCCAATCCCACAAGAATTTAATATTTTACACTTGTGGAATTTCACAAGGGGCCAAGGCAGCCTTAGTCATGAGAATCCTGTAAGAAAATAAAACAATGAAAATATTCCAAAAAGTTGCAGGGACATCACAATTACAACAAAGAGCCTGGGATTTGTTAGACTGGATAAGATCTAAACAAAGGCTATTACATTAAAACTCATGTAGCTAACAGCATCCTTTGCATGGCTTCCGGAAGAGTGTTGACTCTGGGCAATCGACTCTGTGGAAATCACAATTCTGCACCTGCTATTATAGAATATTAATACTAAATAACTGGCTAACGAATGCCTGGGTTGTCAAGCTAAGAGCTCACCCTGTGTCTTCACCACAAGCTTGAGGAAACAAAGTGAGAGCCTGACTCCACTACTTAGAATTTCCTGGAGCTGGAGCTTGGTCAAGCAATTTCATTTACGTAACATACTTCCGATCACTTTCTTAAACCACCGACCTATTTCTCTGAAATAATAGCATTATGGTTTTTGATATTTTTTGTGTGTGTGGCTGTTTTGCCTGAGGGAATTACCAGAGATTGATTATAAATATAATCCACTGTATAAGCTGATCATTTTCATCTGAAAGAAGGTTGTTCTGACCTTCTCAGGTAAGATGATGGGCAAGGACTTGGTAACATCTGAATAGGACTTGCCTTGTCATTAGTGATCGACTCCACGCCTCTGCTCAATGCCAAGCTGGGGGTCTTAGAGTCCCATAGCCTGGGTTTCTGTGGAAGTCCCCTTGGGAGGTACTGTGGAGTGGTGGGAGGAACAATGTGGGAAAGGGTAGGTTCTAGGCCCTCCAACCTGGACTTCAGTTAAGATTTCAACTGACTAAACAGTAAGGAACTGAAAGAAAATGCAGAGGCTCCTGATCTCAACCACAAGCTTCTTGTACAGGTGAGGGTACTTAGGCCCAAAGATGAAAGAGCTTCCTCAAGCTCCTCTAGGAAAGGGGTTGGGTCAGGGTCAGAACCCCACTTGCAGGTCTCTGATTGAGTAATAGCTGCATACCAGCTGGCCCTCACGATTCCTTTCTGGACATCTAAACATCACATCTGCAGAGCTACCAGGAAAGATGGTTTCAATTTCAAGGGTTTTGTTTAACTTTGCTATAGGGCATGTATGCTTTGTGGAGACAGAGAAAAAGTGAGAAATCATCCCCTAGGAGGGATGGCCATACTAAAATCTCTTCTCCTCCAGTCTCCTATCAAGATTTTGGGCACACACGCACACTCACCCAGCTTATTTTTCAAGTTGCCTGGTCTGGGACTCAAACTGCACTGTCAGCTATGTAGGATCCAGCTGCCTTAACCTCCCTCCATGACACCTGCTGGTCCTCAAGTTCAATTATTTATTCATTTTGAGAAACTACTGCCTGATAAACATGGTGACAGGAAATAGGTAGAGAACTATAAATATGCTTTCTTTACTATGAAGAGTGTTAATTTCCTAGTTTTATTTTTCACAACCCCAAAATGTATCAGTAAAACACCAAATTTGCTCAAATAAATACCATTATGTTTATAATCATCTGTAGAGTTTTGTTGGTTGGTTTGGCTGGTTGTTGTTTCAATACAGAGTCCTGAGACCTCCTCTTAAATATTGTGAATCAACAGGTTTGGGAGAGCAGTGTTTGTAGTTCCCAGTACACTGTATGTGATCCATGAACTCCAGGGATGATGCCCTACTGTACAAGTACTAGGGTAGAAGATCTGACTCCACTGGCAATCAAAGGCAGAGAAGGTGAGAGGGAAAAAAAAATAAAGGAGGAGGGAGGGAGGAAAAGAAAGAGGTAGAGAAGGAAACAGAAAGAGAACATGGAGGGAAGGTAGAAGGAAGGAACGAAGGAAGGAAGGAAGGAACGAAGGGAGGGGAAGGAAAGGAAGGAAAAATGAAATAAATGGGAGGGAGAGGAAGAAACAGAAGAGGAAAAGGAAAAAGGGAGACAGGGCAGAGGGGAAGAGAGAGAAGAAGTGACAAGGAAGTGGGGAATCAAGCTTTCTCAGTCTTGGATTTATCAAAATATTAAAACACATTCCATAGGTCAGTGAGGTAACAAACAAGGACTTTGTTTTGTGGTTTTTTTCAACTTTAGGCCAGGTTGGAACCAAAAAAAAATGAAAGTATGTGTAAAGCATTTTCTCAGATTTGGCGAAAGTGAGTATTTGCCTATGTACTAGAGAATGTAAAGGCTAAAAGAATCACTTTAAGAAAAAGACGGGAAAACACACTGTGGGGGTTGAGGTGGAGGAACAATTCTTCAGCACCTGCTGTATGCCATGACCTCCCTTCCAGCGTCTCACCTCTCCCGATCTTTTTCCAGGGCTTCCTGCTCAGCCTCCAGGCAAGCCCACAGCCCGGACTGCTCACTGTCACTGCTGTTCAGAGAGGCAAGCTTCTGCCGCTGCTCTTCAATCTCCACGCCCAGGGTGGAGCGTCTTTGCAGGGCAGAGTGCCTCCTCTCCAGCTTGGCAATGGCACGCTCCAGTGCCTCCCTTTGCTGCTTCTCCTGTGACTCTAGAATCTCTTTTTCTTTTTTCCTTACTTTCTCTTCCTGACGCGCCAGGTTGGCAGTGAATTCAAATGTAGCTTGAAGCTTCTGCAGCTGGCTGGCATTGGCTTGGTACTGAGCAAGCTGTTCTTCTTTCTCTTCCATTTCTTTTTCTACTTGATAGAGAGTGTTGTCTAAGCCGAGAGGGCCTCTGTCAAGGATTTCAGACGCTCTCTGCTTTTCTTCCAGCAGAGTTGGCAGATGATGTTGCAGGAGGTACTGTAGCTGGCGTTCTTTATATTGCAGCCTGCACTCCACAGGCTTTATTTTTTCTAAATCTTGAGTCATCTGGGTGACGTTCGTGACACCATCATCACTTTCCCCCAGCGACTTAGATGCTTCATCCTTTTCACCTTTTAAATGCTTCAGGGTTACCTGCTCTTCTTCAATTTCTCTTTCTAGGAGGTCTTTCTGCTGAA